CGCTGGAGGGACTTTGCTCCGAGCGATCCGGGCCGGAGTCCGGCCCAGGGAGCTGTGACTTCGGCACCGGGCGGGCTCCTCCCTCCCTAATCTGCTTAACCTCCTTGGCCTTCTGGGAATTAATATATTTTTTTTCTTTTTTGGGGAATTAATCCTGGAAACGGGTTTTTCTGCTCCCAGGGCGGCCGGGATCAGAGAGGAGCTGGTTGTATATATTTACTAGAAGCCCGGGCGCACGAATCGGACCCAGGGTGGTGGTTGGGGGCCCTCCCGCACCCCCATCGGGGCCCATCCCGGAGGCTGGGGGGAGGGTCCGGGGGAGTTTGGTTAAAATGTTTAAACCTGAATACTCATATTGAGAAATATATACAATTGGGCGCCCTGGGGGCAGGCCTGGGGGGTCGGGGTGAAGGGGCCGCAGGAGGTTGGTAGGCCAGCCCCCTACCCCGCTATCAGCCTGGTTGGCCGGCTGCAGCGCGCATCATAGCCACCTGGGGTTCCGGTTGGTCGGTCGCTTGGTCGCTTGGCTTAGATTTAGGGTGTCCCAAAATTCACGCAAGAAGTAATTTTGATAGAAAATACAGGTTTATCGTTAAAAATTGTAAATTTTTTATTAATTCATAAAGGACACAGTCTAGGGTTTATGGATGGAATAACCCATCGGGTCAGTGGCCTCCACGGTTTTGCTGGCACAGATGCAAAGCCACGATCTCCATTGGTCTTCCTGGTCCCTGCTCCTGGGCCGTCATGGGTCCGTGGTGATGCTGATCGAATCGAAGGGATTGATTGACATCCAAGGGCCGCAGATATTAGAATCTGAATCAATAAACCAAGTAAAATTAGGCTTTTATTTATTTTTTGTTGTTGTTAATGCTCACGCAGAATCCAAATCTTGCGCGAATTTTGGGACACCCTTTATATGTAGATATATTGATTAGAGAGAGGGAGAGAGAGAGAGGAACATTCATGATGAGTGAGAATCATGGATCAGCGGCCTCCTGCCCAAATATATTGATTAGAGAGAGGGAGAGAGAGAGAGAGGAACTTCCATGATGAGTGAGAATCATGGGTCAGCGGCCTCCTGCCCGGCTTGGTCCCCAATGTGGGGCTTCCAGGAGGCAGCCAGTCTACGATGTTTCTCTCTATCCCACTCCCTTCCTCTCTCTCTCTCAAAATCAATAAAATTTGACTTTTGCGGAAATTAAATAGTGTAAGGAGCCTGGCTGGTGTGGCTCAGTGGTTGAGCGTGGACCTAGGAACCAGGAGGTCACGGGTTCGATTCCCGGTCAAGGGCACAGGCCCGGGTTGCGGGCTCCATCCCCAGTGGGGGCGTGCAGGAGGCGGCCGGTCCATGGGTCTCTCTCATCATGGATGTTTCTCTTCCTTCCTCTCTGAAATCAATAAAAATATATTAAAATAAAGAAAAAGAAATTGACGAATCTATGTTCTTTAATGTTGGGCCCACCCAGTCCGCGTCAGGGACACTGTGCCCCATGGTGTCTATAAATCCATGTGTTACCTCCGGCCTTGAACTCTATGGGGACAAAGAAGCAGACTTTGGGGGGCGGGGGCGACTTGGGGTCCTTTGTGGAGAAAGCCCTGTAGCAGGAGGAACTTGGCTTGTCACTGGCCTGTTGCGTCACTGGCCTGTTGAATTATTCGCCTGTTGCATTATCTGTTGCGTCACTCGCCTATTGTGCCACCCGCCTATTGCGTCACTGGCCTGTTGAATTATTCGCCTGTTGCATCATTCGCCTATTGCGTCAATGGCCTGTTGAATTATTCACCTGTTGCATTATCTGTTGCGTCACTCGCCTATTGTGCCACCCGCCTATTGCGTCACTGGCCTGCTGAATTATTCGCTTGTTGCTATCTGTTTCGCGTCACTCGCCTATTGCGTCACTGGCCTGTTGAATTATTCGCCTGTTGCATTATCTGTTGCGTCACTCGCCTATTGCGTCACTGGCCTGTTGAATTATTCGCCTGTTGCATCATTCGCCTATTGCGTCAATGGCCTGTTGAATTATTCACCTGTTGCATTATCTGTTGCGTCACTCGCCTATTGTGCCACCCGCCTATTGCGTCACTGGCCTGCTGAATTATTCGCTTGTTGCATTATCTGTTGCGTCACTCGCCTATTGCGTCACTGGCCTGTTGAATTATTCGCCTGTTGCATCATTCGCCTATTGCGTCAATGGCCTGTTGAATTATTCACCTGTTGCATTATCTGTTGCGTCACTCGCCTATTGTGCCACCCGCCTATTGCGTCACTGGCCTGCTGAATTATTCGCTTGTTGCATTATCTGTTGCGTCACTCGCCTTAGCAGGCGGCCGCGCCGTTGGGGTGGAACACGGGCGTCTGGTAATGCACCTTCCATATGGCGCCCCCTGGAGGGAGAAGCAAGAATCACGGCCCGCCCAGCCGGTGTGGCTCAGTGGGTAGAGCCGGGGCCTGCAGACTGAAGGGTCCCGGGTTCGATTCCTGGTCAAGGGCACAGGCCCCGGGTTGCAGGCTCCATCCCCAACCGGCAGGGGGCGTACAGGAGGCGGCCGATGCATGATTCTCTCTCATCATGGATGTTTCTCTCTCTCTCCTTCCCCCTTCCTCTCTGAAATTAATAAAATCTATATAAAATTTTTAAAAAAAGAAATACAAGGAAACAAATAAAAATATCCTCAAATAAATATTAGCAAGAAAAAGCAAAGAAAAGCCATGCGTCTGAAAATAATGCACTTGCAAAGTTAGGGTCCGGCTTGCACACAGGCGTGCACGTGGGAGCGTGTGCATACGTCATGTGTGTGCACGCGTGTGAGTGTGCATACATCATGCCTAACCCATGGGTAACACCCCCTTATCCCAGAACCAAGCGATGATTGGCAGCTGGGAAGGGGAGTCGACCTCCAAGCACCTAATAGCGGAGCCACCGCCAAAATGAGCTTCCGGCAGAAGCTGAGGGGAGAGGGGATCAGGGTGCCTCCCGGGCCACTCACAGTCTCGCTGGTGCCTCCTGGGCCACTCACTTTCTCTCTGGTGCCACCGGGCCGCGTGCAGAAACTTCTCGCAATAATGCATCAGGAACTCGTGGTCCGAGTGCTGGGCGGTCCCCAGCAGCAAGGGCAGCAGGTCCCGGCCGTCTATCACCCTGCAGACAGCACCCCGGTGACACCCGGTTGGGGTAGCGCTCGCGTGCGCGTGCGCGCAAAGTTAGCGCAAAACGTGGCGAGCGGAGGGGCGCAGGGCTGCAGCCAGCCACCCGCTCAGCTACGGAGAGCATCTTGGATTAAATGCTCATGAGGCAAGAGATTGTTCGGCTCATATTATTGTGCATCGAGTGCAAAAATAAGCCACCCAGCCCGTGTGGCTCAGTGGTTGAGCGTCATCCACCTAGGAACCAGGAGGTCCCTGGTTTGAGTCCTGCTCAAGGGCACAGGCCTGGGTTACGGGGCTCCATCCCCAGTAGGGGGTGTGCAGGAGGCAGCCGATCCATGATTCTCTCTCATCGTGGATGTTTCTGTCTCTCTCTCTCTCTCTGAAATAAATTTTAAAAAATACATTTTTATAAAATCT